TCCTGTCCAGGAAGGTGGTGGGCTATGCTATACTGGGTGTGTTCCAGCAGAAACTGGATAGTCATGTATCCGGGTTGCTTTAATTTAAATTCCTTTCCTGAGCAGGGATTTGGACTTGATGCTCTCTTCCAACTCTGATTGTGTCACTGGGTCTCCCCTTGCAGGCAGAAGGCTAGCATCTCAGGGGGAAAAGATTTAGCCTTGCCTACTACTCATCACACTTCTCTGAGTGGAGAAGTGATCTCTCCTCTTGCAGTCTGAAACAGGACAGATCTAAAACCGCTCTGCAGGGCCTGGCTAACGCAGCTATGAGCCTTCCTACCTCTCTGGTATGTAGCTGGGGGTAGTTCCTATTTTTCTGACTGCTTCCCCACAATAGGTAGCAAGATTTTTTAATGGGTGTTCAAAACTTTATCCCCCCCACACAACTCTGCCTCACCACGTGCACGCCCAAAGCTGTGAATGAGGCTGCCTTCTTACACTTTTGGACAGGCTGGCCTTTTGCACTGGGCTAGAGAAATCAGGTACGAGAATTTTGGACTGAACCAAGGTGGAAGTGGGTGAAAGCACATTGCTGAAAGCTCCCGATATCAAGAATTGGGAGAAGTTTAGCCCAGCCTATGTAGAAGGTACCAGATTAATAAAAAACTGAAAGGTTTGACTCAGGAGACAAGGTTTGGGGACCAGAAGTGTGAAGAGGGTCAAGGGAGAGATGCACTCTTTTTTCACGTATCGCTCCAATAAACTATTCACTGTAACACGGAAGCAAAGATGGTTTTCTGAGTATTTGCTTTCTGCGTGAGAACAGCAACGTGTTCTCCAAAGAGTCAGTTTTCAGTGCAGAACACCATCTGTTGCATTAAATGGAGTGGACCTCCTTGAATCTAACCTACAATTGTACCGTTTGGATACTCCCACTGAAGGATTAAAAATGGTGCTGTGGGTGTAAAATGTGTAAGCCCAAGTCAGTTTCTGTACCACATACAGCAACTGCCACAAGACTGTCACAGGAAATGGGTGAAAGCTTTGCCCACTGCCACGATTGCTCAGACCTGTAGAAGTTAAAGTGCAAAAACATCTGGAGAACATCAAGACACTTTCTTTAGTATGGGCATTCCTAGTATGCCTCAAAGGGGGGAAAAAAATAACATTTTTCAAGCACCTCAAACAATGCAAGTTTCTGGAGACTTTCCCTTTGGGCAGAGGGCACCTACAACTCTTCTACAGATGAATCTCTTCTGCCTCAAATGAAGTAGGCCTCTGAGGACCAGCTGGCCAAATCCCTGAGCAGGCGTGCGTGAGTTTAAACAGCAAAGAGAGAGTTTGCTGGAAACTTTTGAATTTTCTGGGAGCAACATCTGGTTGTGGAGATGGAAAGACAGCAGTCTA